TGGGTGGAACACCTGGAGAGAAATGATAAAATATCAGACAGACAGTATGGTTTTTGATCCGTAAGATCCTGTGTATTGAATTTACTCAGTTTCTATGATCGAGCCACAGAGATTTTACAGGAAAGAGATGGTTGGGTTGACTGCATCTATCGGGACCTAAAAAAGGCCTTCGACAGAGTTCCACATAAGAGGTTGTTCTGGAAACTGGAAAATAGTAAAGGGATGACAGGTAAGCTTCTAACATGAATGAAAAATTTTCTGACTGATAGAAAAATTAGGGCAGTAATCAGAGGCAATGTATCTGATTGGAAAAATGTCACAAGTGGAGTACCACAGGGTTCAGTTCTTGCACCGGTGATGTTCATTGTCTACATAAATGATCTACCAGTTAGAATACAGAATTATACGAACATGTTTGCTGATGATGCTAAGATAATAGGAAGGATAAGAAACTTAGATAATTGTCATGCCCTTCAAGAAGACCTGGACAAAGTAAGTATATGGAGCACCACTTGGCAAATGGAATTTAATGTGAATGAATGCCATGTTATGGAATGTGGAATAGGAGAGCATAGACCCCACACAATCTATAAATTATGTGAGAAATATTTAAACATTCTGATAAAGAGAGAGATTTAGGGGTGGTTCTAGATAGAAAACTATCACCTGAGGACCACATAAAGAACGTTGTGTGAGGAGCCTATGCCACGCTTTCTAACTTCAGAATTGCTTTTAAATACATGGATGGCGAAATATTAAAGAAATTGTTCACGACTTTTGTTAGGCCAAACCTAGAATATGTAGCGGTTGTGTGGTGCCCATATCTTAAAAGAGCACATCAACAAACTGGAAAAGGTGCAGACATGCTACTAAGTGGCTCCCAGAACTGAAGGGCAAGAGCTACGAGGAGAGGTTACAGGCATTAAATATGCCAAAACTAGAAGACAGAAGAAAAAGAGGTGATATGATCACTACACACAAAATAGTAACAGGAATTGATAAAATCGATAGAGAAGATTTCCCAAGACCTGGAACTTCAAGAACAAGAGGTCACAGATTTAGACTAACTAAACAAAGATGCAGAAGAAATATAGGAAAATTCACTTTCGGAAACAGAGTGGTAGACGGTTGGAACAAGTTAAGTGAGATGGTGGTGGAGGCCAAAACCATCAGTAGTTTCAAAGCGTTATATGACAGAGTGCTGGGTAGACGGGACACCACGAGCATAGGTCTCATCCTGTAACTACACTTAGGTAATTACTATTCGGCTGACAATACCACCTAACTCGGCAAAATGCCTCCAAATATCCTACACATATCACTAACTCCAGCCACAACTATCAAAATCCTGGTCACTAAAATCATGAATATGAATCATTTTGCCAAAGTTAATTTTCTGAAAGAACATGAGGTCCCATTTCATGATGCATGAAACCATGACTGTGCTGAGAATGTCTGCCTTGCACTGTGAACTTCCTAACCATCATTGTCACTGATATCTAAACCTTGACCATGAGTTTTTATCAAGTTCAGGATTCTCTATGACACTATCACAAAATAATCAGTTATTTATTTTACTTTGTCATTACAGTACTGTATTAAGTGATGCTGTGGGGAATAAGTTGCACAGCAGTGCTGTAAGCTGTTGCAACATGTGCTAAACATGATCTCGCTTTCAATATTGAAACCTTAACAACCAGGTGGGGTGCCCATGATTTTTTCCAAGATGGCATCTGTTTACTGGAGGCTTGTGGAAGCAAATGTGGGCCACGTGTGCACAAGATACATTTAAATCATCCGAACAATCCTCACTTAACACTTTCGCCCGGGCATGACGCAGCATTGCGTCATCCGTTTACTGGCGGTAATTCCGGGGATGACGCAGCATTGCGTCATCCACTTTAAATAATCGCCAAAAATCAGGTTTTTATCCGATTTTTTTGGGACTGGTTTTAAAATGCGCGCCGATGTCTTCCCATTTTCTTTGTTGAGCCTCGTGGCCCTCAGGCAGCTTGGCACATGCCGTGGGCCCATTGTTTACGCTCCACTGTTGTGACCAATGTCGCCTCCCCTCGCATCTCAAACGTGTGAACATTTCGGCTATTTTCCGTGGCTATATTTCTTACTGCGGCTTTAGAAACTATCTACGCTTACTCCACGATGGATAGTGATCATGAACAAGGCCCTTCCAGGAAGAAAATTGCGAAAGAAAGGCTTGAAAAGGGCGGGAATTGGGAGTGTAGCTGGAAGGCAGCTGAGCACTCACTCGTGGCTAACGCGTGGCCCGTCTTCAACTCGTCGGCGGTTGGAGCGTGACCAGGTTTTTTATTTTATATGCTAATGTTCCTCTAGAGAATTCTATTGCGAACCCATTGAGACCAAAATGAAAGACTTAGGATAAAAATTGAGGTGACCAGAGTGAAAATAGTGAAAACATTTTATCGCGTTTGCGCGCTCCTGGGTAACTCGTTCGAACTTTCTCTGTTTGCTGCGGGTAATTAGCCGGGCTTTTGGAGTTTATATGCATTTAGTGCTGTAGAGAATTCTATTGCGAACACAATGATACCAAATTTAATCTCGAAGGACGAGAATTAAGGTGACAAAGTTGAAGAGAGTATACACTTTTCAGAATTTACGCGCACTCCCGTGACACCCTGGGTCCCATATCGCACAGTTGAGGGGTGGCGAGCGGGGTGCACCAAAGTGTTAATCATCGAACATCTGTATGTTCCACTGAACATTTAATACCAAATTCAATTTGTTCGGATCACCTGGGAATTCGATAGAGCGGGGTTCGTTAGAGTGAGGATGCACTGTACTTTATATTGTCCCTCACTGACTCGCACAGTGGGGGGAAGGGGGGGTCAGAAATGGTGTGATTGTCCCTGATTGACACGTACATTTGAAGAGTTAAGAGTACAATAATTTACACTTTGATTAAGTAATTACCTATTAAATAATTACCTAAGTGTAATTACAGGTGGATAACGGATGATAACACCATTGCCACCTTCTGATGCTCAACCTCGGCAACAGCTTGGGTGAACAATCCTCACTTAATTGAACATTTGCACGTTCCACTGAACAATTTGCACAATTTCTTTAGGTCATCCAGTAATTTATTAGAGCAAGGTTCGTTAGAGTGGGGATGCACTGCATTTGAGCAAGCACAGCACCCTATGGGATTGAGCTTTTCAGCGGATGATCCGGATTTTGACTGTTACTCTTTAATTTTCTAATGAACAAAACCCAAAGAGCTAACGTCCTGATTTGCTAATTATTTCTTCTGGGTGTATTTTGTGTGCAATTATACCATGATCACCTTTGCTAAAATCTTTCACGAAATCTCTCTACTGTATATTGCATCAGTGCAGGCGATGAGACACAATAACGTGGCTAAAGTATTTTGACCAGACCACACACTAGAAGGTGAAGGGACGACGACGTTTCGGTCCGTCCTGCACCATTCTCAAGTCGATTGCATCAGTGTTTTGCTTTTTTTTCCAAGGAATCTAAGGCCATGTCATAGTGGTTTGGCAAAACTGTGAGAGGCAAAAGTATCCAGCTCTGTAACCACATTGTCTAAGGTTATATAGACATTCTGACTTCATGTGTTTTGTAATATCACTTCTTGGCACTCGTTCAATTATTTCTATGGAGTGTGATGTTAGTGCTATTGGTCTATAATATTTGTGTGTTTGTTGTACTACCCCTTAGTGGGTTGTGGCACAATATCCACTGTTTGAAGTGTATCAAAAATACATTATAGAAACCACATTAATAAGAAACCATAATTATTTTTTTTATGCCAAGATGAGTGTTTTAAGTCATTATGATAAGACATTTGAAACATTATATTCATACTGGAGATTCATTACATACATATTCATACGTAATCAGACAAATGTCATGGTTACTTTGAACAAGAACAGAATTTTGTCATTGATCTTTTCCTAGATCTTTTAAATACTTCCTTACACTTCAACTTGGCTATATACCACCTACGGGAACGAAAGCCAAAGTTGTGCGAGTGCACTGTTTACAAGCACACAGAACAAAGAAACAGCAAGCGAAAATGTGTGCGTGTACCTGGTGCATCGAGTGCAAAGTTGCGCTGTGTACCATGGCCTTGTTCTTCAATTATCACTCGCTCCCAAAGTACGTAGTGGGTAATACAGTGTATGACTATGTAAATAGTGTGAGTGTACATAGTGTAAATAAATTGAATATTGAACAAGTAATATTGCGACAAAACATTTTTTATGCACACATTAGTGACACATATATCACAGTTCCTTGGAACCTTATGAATGTCCTACTGTGTACATATGGTAAAGGGTACAAATGTGCATCAGATACGATAAAAAAACAAATTAGAAAGCATTAAAAATGCACCACGTTCTGGCGACGTCATGCCACATCATCTCCACATCCCCACAGCCAAAGTAATTAGTTTTATATATATTTTTTTACATATACATATTCAGGGAAGGGAATTTTTTTTTAGGGAGCACTTCAATTTCAGCGCACCAACAGAACGTTACATTAAAAGCTGTGGAGCACGGAGGTTAACACCAAGTCTTAATAATAGGCATATTTACACTTAAGACAATGAAGGCAACACATTGATGATTTTGGTCCCATTCTCTACTCATAACTACAACAATACCATAGTGAAAATAAGCTTAGTTATAAAATACTTATAGCCATAAAAACTGAAAATGTTTAAAGCCCAAAATTGGCAATTATGTGATATTTAAAGTGGACCAAAAACCAAGCTTATCTTCTTTAACATTTTGGAAGCAAGGGATTTGAACAATTTATGTTACCAATAATATTATGTTACTCTACTATCTTGACAAGATTGACTTCCATACCTATCAAATCATAATCACAGTTTACTTAAAATCAATCGTTGAAAGTAACAGGATTTTTCTAATTTGAAGTAGCCCAAACCCTTCACTTCCAAATGTATTTAAAGCAATGCCCAGAACACTCACCCCCTGAACCTCCGAGTCTCCTTGATCTTCCATTCCGCCTTCTGAGTAACCTTCGCCTCCGGCAAAACCAGCCAGGTCATTATCGCCATCCCAGTTATCTGAAGACTAAACAGCAAATATAATCATTAATACTATGCTAATTTTTTTTAACATTTGTCTAGGCTTAAAAATAAACCAAAACGTTTTTAGAAAAAAAGTCCACATTCTGAATAAGTTCAGGCTGAGGCAATTTTAAGTTAAGAAATTGTTTTTACTGATACTGAACATTTATCAAATATCTTAAGATGATTTCGGGGCTTTAGTGTCCCCGCGGCCCGGTCCTCGACCAGGCCTCCACCCCCAGGGTGGAGGCCCGTGACAGCTGACTAACACCCAGGTACCTATTTTACTGCTAGGTAACAGGGGCATAGGGTGAAAGAAACTCTGCCCATTGTTTCAATGGGCAGAGTTTCAATGGGCAATGATCCCAGGACCACAGGATCATAAGTCCAGTGTGCTGTCCGCTCGGCCGACCAGCTCCCTATGGTACAGTGCTGTGATATTTCACTCAAAACAACTTGGTACATCAGAAAGTTTAATGCATAGGAAGGAGTCTGTTTCAGTGGTAAGAATGGTTTATAAGACAGCATTCCAGTTAAATAAAGCACTGGCTACATCAAGAAAGGCACATTTCACGATCTGAACAGAAGGTTTGCATTGATTAAAGAGTACTCTAGAGAAGAGGGAATGTAATAGAATTTAGTCTTACATAATGAACACAGGAATGCTTGGAGGTCTAAGTAAATAGTAGTAGTGGTATTAGCAACAATGATAATGGTGAAGCTGGTGAAAGAAATGGCAAAGGTAATGGTAGTGGTAGGTGGGTAGTGGTAGGTGGGTAGTGGTAGGTGGGTAGTGGGGTGGTAGGTGGGTGGTGGGGTGGTAGCAGAAGAGTAAGGTTGTCTTTTTCTGAACATCGTCGGTTTAAAACCCCTTCCATTTCATGCATCACTTGACAAAATCCATCAAGAAAGACCATTTTCTGGTGAGCCCTCAGTAGCTTACAAAGCTAAGCACTGGAACAGCCATGCCTTAGGAAGATGCAACAGGCCTCCAAGACCCATCCTTGCCTACTGGATGTCAGTACCACAACCTGGCACTCTACAAGACAAGGGGAAGTTTCAGAACAGAGATAAACCCAGAGGAAAATCCACTAGAAAGCAAAAGTGAGTTTGAACTTCCGAGTTTGTGATCCGAGTATGAAGTATCAGAGTAATGCCCCCGATTATTTCTTTATTGTTCAGCAATTCAGAAATGGCAGATAGTGACATTACTAAATGTAATGATAATACCATACTACTCCCTAAATGATACAAACAGCACTGCCCCATGTTATGACCAAGTCTATTTTGTTTACACCAGAACCGCAATTGTAGCAAAAGTATCATTGCAAATATAAGCAATGCTGTCATTTCATACGAATGCTCGAAGCTCGCTTCATATGCACCATAAATTATTTGAACCCACCCATTCTCAAAATTGGAATTAAATGTATCGAAACTATCTACAGAAAACCAACAAAGTTACTACTGCAAAAATGGGCCAATAAAGCTGCTACCAATACGGTACATCGGTACATCCTTAAAACTATGCATTAACGTAAATGTGAGCACAGGACGGGTGGAACACGCACAAAGGGACACAGGTGGAAACTTAGTACCTAAATGAGACAAGAGACATTAGAAAGAATTTTTCCAGTGTCATAGTAGTTAATAAATGGAATGCAATAGGAAGTGATATGGTGGAGGCTGACTCCATATAAGTAGGTATGATAGAGCCCAGTAGGCTTAGGAATCTGTACACCAGTTGATTGACGGTTGAGAGGCGGAACCAAAGAGACAAAGCTCAACCCCCGCAAGCACAATTCGGCGAGTATAACTAGGTGAGTACAGGAGGCAGAGATATCTCAGAAGCTGGCAGGGACTGAGTATGAGTGAGTGAGTGAGTGAGTGAGTGAGTGAGTGAGTGAGTGAGTGAGTGAGTGAGTGAGTGTGTGAGTGAGTGAGTGTGTGAGTGTGTGTGTGTGTGTGTGTGTGTGTGTGTGTGAGTGAGTGAGTGAGTGAGTGAGTGAGTGAGTGAGTGAGTGAGTGAGTGAGTGAGTGAGTGAGTGAGTGAGTGAGTGAGTGAGTGAGTGAGTGAGTGAGTGAGTGAGTGAGTGAGTGAGTGAGTGAGTGAGTGAGTGAGTGAGTGAGTGAGTGAGTGAGTGAGTGAGTGAGTGAGTGAGTGAGTGAGTGAGTGAGTGAGTGAGTGAGTGAGTGAGTGAGTGAGTGAGTGAGTGAGTGAGTGAGTGAGTGAGTGAGTGAGTGAGTGAGTGAGTGAGTGAGTGAGTGAGTGAGTGAGTGAGTGAGTGAGTGAGTGAGTGTGAGTGAGTGAGTGAGTGAGTGAGTGAGTGAGTGAGTGAGTGAGTGAGTGAGTGAGTGAGTGAGTGAGTGAGTGAGTGAGTGAGTGAGTGAGTGAGTGAGTGAGTGAGTGAGTGAGTGAGTGAGTGAGTGAGTGAGTGAGTGAGTGAGTGTGAGTGAGTGAGTGAGTGAGTGAGTGAGTGAGTGAGTGAGTGAGTGAGTGAGTGAGTGAGTGAGTGAGTGTGTGTGTGTGTGTGTGTGTGTGTGTGTGTGTGTGTGTGTGTGTGTGTGTGTGTGTGTGTGTGTGTGTGTGTGTGTGTGTGTGTGTGTGTGTGTGTGTGTGTGTGTGTGTGTGTGTGTGTGTGTGTGTGTGTGTGTGTGTGTGTGTGTGTGTGTGTGTGTGTGTGTGTGTGTGTGTGTGTGTGTGTGTGTGTGTGTGTGTGTGTGTGTGTGTGTGTGTGTGTGTGTGTGTGTGTGTGTGTGTGTGTGTGTGTGTGTGTGTGTGTGTGTGTGTGTGTGTGTGTGTGTGTGTGTGTGTGTGTGTGTGTGTGTGTGTGTGTGTGTGTGTGTGTGTGTGTGTGTGTGTGTGTGTGTGTGTGTGTGTGTGTGTGTGTGTGTGTGTGTGTGTGTGTGTGTGTGTGTGTGTGTGTGTGTGTGTGTGTGTGTGTGTGTGTGTGTGTGTGTGTGTGTGTGTGTGTGTGTGTGTGTGTGTGTGTGTGTGTGTGTGTGTGTGTGTGTGTGTGTGTGTGTGTGTGTGTGTGTGTGTGTGTGTGTGTGTGTGTGTGTGTGTGTGTGTGTGTGTGTGTGTGTGTGTGTGTGTGTGTGTGTGTGTGTGTGTGTGTGTGTGTGTGTGTGTGTGTGTGTGTGTGTGTGTGTGTGTGTGTGTGTGTGTGTGTGTGTGTGTGTGTGTGTGTGTGTGTGTGTGTGTGTGTGTGTGTGTGTGTGTGTGTGTGTGTGTGTGTGTGTGTGTGTGTGTGTGTGTGTGTGTGTGTGTGTGTGTGTGTGTGTGTGTGTGTGTGTGTGTGTGTCGTACCTAGTAGCCAGAACGCACTTCTCGGCCTACTATACAAGGCCCGATTTGCCTAATAAGCCAAGTTTTCCTGAATTAACATATTTTCTCTAATTTTTTTCTTATGAAATGATAAAGCTACCCATTTCATTATGTATGAGGTCAATTTTTTGTTATTGGGGTTAAAATTAACGTAGATATATGACCGAACCTAACCAACCCTACCTAACCTAACCTAACCTATATTTATAGGTAAGGTTAGGTTAGGTAGCCAAAAAAAGCTAGGTTAGGTTAGGTTAGGTAGACGAAAAAACATTAATTCATGAAAACTTGGCTTATTAGGCAAATCGGGCCTTGAATAGTAGGCTCAGAAGTGCGTTCTGGCTATTAGGTACGACATATATATATATATATATATATATATATATGCATATATGCATAGTTGAGTTTAGGCTCAAAGATCAAACAAAAGGACTGAATCACATTCATCATGGTGAATGATGAATCATTTCTTCATTTGTGGTAAGGGGAAATGCTGGGTAGAAGCTGTTTGCAACGAGTTAAAGTACACCTGATCTTTATGAAGTGGTCAGGTACTGCTGTGAATGAATGCTGATGTGTGGGTTGTGTTTGTTTATCCTTATTATTATTATTATAAGCCGGTCGGCCGAGCGGACAGCACGCGGGACTTGTGATCCTGTGGTCCTGGGTTCGATCCCAGGCGCCAGCGAGAAACAATGGGCAGAGTTTCTTTCACCCTATGCCCCTGTTACCTAGCAGTAAAATAGGTACCTGGGTGTTAGTCAGCTGTCACGGGCTGCTTCCTAGGGGGTGGAGGCCTGGTCGAGGACCGGGCCGCGGGGACACTAAAGCCCCAAAATCATCTCAAGATAACCTCAAGATTATTATTATTATTATTGAAGGTTTATAACCTTCATGCTAGTGTGAATGATATAATGAATGGAGAAGTGATATTTTTCATATTTAATACCTATAACACATTCACATTCTCTTCACTGCTGCTACCTCCCCATTCTATAAAGTAATAAACAGGGTTAGAATAAGTGAATGTAAAGCACAGCAATACTCACCCCTTGCAATCCTGAGGGTCCTGCAATTGCCACATCCTGCTCCAAGTGCCTAGAGTCCGAGACATCTGGTTTAGTATCCGTCTCGTCGTAACTTTCATTCATAAAAACGTCTGGAGTTTCTGGTGGATCTGCTACTTCTTGCTTGATAACCGGTAATGATGTAGATTGTGTTGGTGATGCAAGAGGTGGATGTGGCTGTGATACGGATGTTGGAAGGAGTGGACTTGTGGGGACTTGTAACGATCTTGGAACTTGTGAAGATGCGAGGGAATGAGGCAACGGTGAAGGATGACTTTTTGCAGCTGCTTGCGAAGTTGGGGGTGCCTGAGCAGTTTGTGGCAGAGGTGCTTGTTGTAATCTTTGCAACACCGCTTGTTGCTGCGATGGAGGCGGAAGGGTCACATGCGGTATTCTATTAGTTGTGTTGTTGCTGGATATGCTACTAGTTCTATCTTCCTCTATTAAATGTCTCTTCTTCTTAGAAGGGGGACTCCCTTCACGATCTCGTTCCTCTGGCCCTCTTCTTGAAGTCTGCTGAGGTTCATCATCTGGGATAGCTAATCCTTTGATTCTAAGGCACTCGGCGGTCTTAATAAGGCTCGTTAATTCTGACTGAGCGACATCAACTTGCCCCAGGTACATGTAGTCGAGTAAATACTCAAGATCTTGCCTTCTAACATCTTTAAGTACAATAACTATATTGTTACCACTTGTGGAAGTAAATATATCACTGAAGTATTCACTGCACGTTGATAGCACAAATTTATGGGCTGGATATAACCGTCCATCACAGGCTAACGTCACATCGGTGTATGTATGCTGAAAAAAATAATAATGCATGTATAAAATGATTACAGTGGAAAAAAAGGAGTCCTTAAAAATAATGCATATAATAATAATTTTAATAATTCATTGTGTCGGGAAACAGGCAGCCAGTACAAACATGCAGTCCATGTTAGGCTTATATCGAGCCCCTTCCCTCCCTCCCAGGGTCAAATTACTGACCCTCTCCGTTCGATCCCGGGCGCCGGCGAGAAACAACGGGCAGAGTTTCTTTCACCCTATGCCCGTTACCTAGCAGTAAAATAGGTACCTGGGTGTTAGTCAACTGTCACGGGCTGCTTCCTGGGGGTGGAGGCCTGGTCGAGGACCGGGCCGCGGGGCACTAAAGCCCCGAAATCGTCTCAAGATAACCTCAAGATAGCATGCAACCTCACAATAAGCTGACTAACTCATGGGTACCTATTTACTGCTAGGTGAAATGAGGCATTAGGTTATAGGAAACACGCCCAACCATTTCTGTTCTGCTTGGCATTCAAGCCCAGAATTCCCAATTGCGAGTCAAGAACGAACCCGACTGTACTATTGGGACCCTCTCCAAGTGATATAATTAATTATTAGCTAATTATGATTTGATTGCAAGAGGGATATCAAGAAATACTGTATTATTAAGCCAGTTTAGGATATGAATTGGGTTACTCTGAATTACCAGAGCACTGAGCAGGATGGTGCAAAGAGCACTGCACATGCTGGTGCAAGCAGCACTGTGCAGACACATGCCTGTAGTCCTGCACAGTTCAGTGAAAGCACTCTGCAGGTTGACACATGTAGTCATATATTTTATCGGGTTGATTCACTCGGTAAAGAATGTTTGCATGAGAATTTTTACATAGAAAAATACTTAAAATATTTCACAATAAATCTAAATGCACAAACATTATTATAAACTGCTATATAAATTATTTCATTCTAATGAAATGGAATGAATTCATTCTGGTATCCATATCTTCCCCAAAACACTATGCGTATTAGTGGCTTTAGGTTATCTTGAGATCTTGAGGTTATCTTGAGATGATTTCGGGGCTGTTAAGTGTCCCAGCGGCCCGGTCCTCGACCAGGCCTCCACCCCCAGGAAGCAGCCCGTGACAGCTGACTAACACCCAGGTACCTATTTACTGCTAGGTAACAGAGGGGCATCAGGGTGAGAAACTCTGCCCATTGTTTCTCGCCGGCGCCCAGGATCGAACCCAGGATCACACGTCCAGTGTTCTGTCCGCTCAGCCACCGGCTCCCTCAATTGGTATTGTACTGTATGTACTAGCTCTATAAATCCAACATTATGTTTGTAAATCAACTATGAATGTACTTTTCCTGAATAAAAATTTTAATTTAATTCAATTTAATTAGACAATTTTTTTCCCAGTTGAGAGATAAACAAGGAACATCTTCCCAAAAGATTTTCAGTAATTCAGAGCAATACATAAGACAATTCTCTTTAAATCTACACCTTAAGTTCTTTGTACTTCATAGCTTTCAATAAACATTCTAGTTTAGATCACACAGTCTCTTGTTGATTGAATTCCTTTGTAATCCCTTGGGGGAACCGGTCGGCCGAGCGGACAGCACGCTGGACTTGTGATCTTGTGGTCCCGGGTTCGATCCCGGGCGCCGGCGGGAAACAATGGGCAGAGTTTCTTTCACTCTATGCCCGTTACCTAGCAGTAAAATAGGTACCTGGGGTGTTATGTCACCTGTCACGGGCTGCTTCCTGGGGGTGGAGGCCTAGTCATGGACCGGGCTGCGGGGACACTAAAGCCCCGAAATCATCTCAAGATAACCTTCATAATATTGTATAGGCAATATACCATATCTCTCACCTATCAACACACTGAATCTTTAAAAAGGTCATTTGATATGCACTTAAATATAAAAGAAACATCTACATCCCTCAATTTGAAGAAAAATACTATTATGACAGGTTTTCAAATCTATGCCAAGTGTTGTAACCTGTTAACCAATTCTTTGTCATTCCAAAGACAAAAATTGGTCAAGATATTTTTCTTAAGGGTGCACAGTAGAGGCATCCCCCCCCCCCCTAGACCTTTAAAACTACCTATTATTGATGACAGTGCAGGCGATGAGTCACAGTAACGTGGCTAAAGTATTTTGACCAGATCACACAATAGAAGGTGAAGGGACGACGACGTTTCGGTCCGTCCTGGACCAATCGACTCCAATCGACTTGAAAATGGTCCAGGACGGACTGAAACGTCGTCGTCCCTTCACCTTCTAGTGTGTGGTCTGGTCAACACTGATGACAGTTTTAGTGATTATAATTAAAATAACGTCTTTCATAAATCAACAAATATCATAGCACTTACCTTTTCTCGTAGGATGGAGAGGACATGGAAGAATGTAGACTTGTGGTTATTCCACTTTAATGAAAGGAGACCCTCCTCCATATCTCCAACTGGAACAAAGACCAAAATATTGATTAACGCTTAACCAGTAGCCGATCGCACCCAATCTTCAGTAATTCCTCAAACTCAAGACACTCATAATCTCGCCTAGAAATTATACTGTACATTGTCCAGTCGTGATGGTCGAGTGGTTAAGGGGTCCTGTACACCAGTTGCAGAGTGCTCCTGGCAGTATGGGTTCAAGTCATTTACTATGCCTCTTGTCATTCAAAGTTATCATGTTTTATATACATTTATATTTTTTTTAACTTTATTGTCCATTACCTCTATTGTCTACTAGTTTTTTGTCCATTACTTTACTCCATTTACATTATAGTCTTTTTCTGTCCATTAATTTATTCTCCATTACTCTGAATGTCCAATACTTTTGTCACTCAATAACTTAATTGATCTCACCTGTAATTACAGTATAGTATTTTTAAAATTTGAATTTTACAATTATTTATAGGTATTAAATTTGTATATTGTTCTATTTAAGTGTTTATTTCTTTTATTTTTATTTCTTTATTTTATATTTTATTTTCCATTTCTTTTGTCAATTTTTTTTTGTCCTTTGTTCTCTGGCCTCCTCGCAACTGCTGTGAAACCAATCCTGTTTTCTAGTTCTGTGTATCTGTTTAGGTATACATTTTGTGCGCCTTTATCATGCATCTCTCAATACTTGGCATACATCTCATTTGCTTCCTTGCCTAACAACAAGTTTTTCCAACCAAACTCATTAAAGAACTTGCTGTTTCCCCAAGAGTCCTCTCATGATATAAAGTTCCCCCCCTGCTTTCTTTCTCTTATTCTCTTCATAATAACCCATTGCATATATTAATTTCCAAAAGGGTCCCAGTAACACAGTCGGGGGTCATTCTTGACTTGCCGTTGAGAATTCCGAGTTCGAGTCACGGCGGGACAGAAATGGTCAGGTGCGTTACCTATCACCAAATGGCCCTGTCCACCTAGCCGTAACTAGGTACCCTGGAGTTGTAAAGATTGTTGTGGTGTTGCATGCTGGGGAAGGTCAGTAATTTGACCCTGGGAGGGTGGGAGGTCTCAGGATATGCTCTTATATATAAACTGGCTGCCTGTCCCCAGGCACAATGAATTAATATAATTATTTAAAAGACAGGGTCACACTTACCCACAGGTACTGAATGTAAAAGATCTCTTCTTTCTTGGTGAATATCAAATCCATTATCAATGAAACATTCCCCGTCCCTCATTCTTGAGGCCTCATTAATATGCTATTACTTTTTTTTTTTTTCCCCTAAGCCTAGACATTTCTTTCCTATGTTGTAATTTTTATTTCAAGTACGTACTGTACAATAAAATTTAATAACAAAGGCTGTATTCTGAACATTTCATATTGTGAAGTTGGATTTGTCATGAGCAGACACACACACACCTGGACGCCGGTTGCAAATTGTATTCACAACACGAACGCACACGATTCATTTCTGACCATCAGATTAAGGTCATAGTAATTAGGATGATGAAAGTATTCATATAACCAGTATTAATATACCGAACCATAATGGGATACAGTAAGTAAAACATTTGTAAAACCATTATCTTTATTTCGCATGTTAGCATAGCTTATGTCCATTTTTTCTCCAAAACTTAGCACCTCAAAATGGGGGTGCATCTTCGATGCCGGGAAATATAGTACATACACACATACACACGCACACACATATGCATACATGTGTCAGAGCTCACCATCTGGACTCCATCAACCCAGACAAAATCGAGTCAGGGTTTTGTCTGCCAAACTCGGACAGAAATGTGGCGACCCGACCCCGCCCAGCCTGTGATGTCCCTGTACCCCAGAGGCCAGATTCACGAAGCAGTTACACAAGTACTTACGGATGTGTACATCTTTCTGCAATCTTTGGCGGCTTTGTTTACAATTATTAAACAGTTAATGAGCTCCGAAGCACCAGGAGGCTGTTTATAACAATAACAACAGTTGATTGGCACGTTTTCATGCTTGTAAACTGTTTAATAAATGTAACCAAAGCCGTCAAAGATTGAGGAAAGATGTACACGTTCGTTAAGTACTTGCGTACCTGCTTCGTGAATCTGGCCCCAGATCGTGACCCGTCAATCTGGGTGAAGGAAGCCCCCCCAAGGGTCTGGCCTTCAACTTCATTTATTTTAACTTGCTCTCAAACCACAAATTTCCTCATCAGTGACAAGTCCAACACTGATATCTTTCTCGTTATTCACGGAAAAATGTCATAATCGATGCCAGTAAAGTGATAAAACACCTACTACTTACCAATTCTTTATATAATAATAAAAATTAACCAGTAATAAATCAGAAAATGAACCTAGCTAAATTAAGTAGCACTTGAAATACAGTTAATCCAGAGTGTACATTATGGTAGTAAAGACAAATGAGAGGCTTCAAATACAAATAATACAAATATTTATTCAGGTAAAGTACATACATACAAGAGATTTTACATAAATTGATCGATTTATAGATAGAGCTAGTACATATAACACCTAAAGCCGCTATTACGCAAAGCGTTTCGGCCAGGAAAAACATTAAGATTAAAACATTAACATTAAAACTAAGACTAATACTTAATACTAACTTAATAACTAACTTCAAGCATAGCACGTACTAGCTCTTATGTAGAAAACCAACACATTCTGTATGTAACTCATCACCTTGTATGTATGTATATATATATGTATTTTTACCTGAATAAACATTTATTTACTATAAATGTGTATAGAGGTAGAGGAACCGGGGGGGGGGTGTGGTGAAGAATGTTACAAGAAACCATATTATGCACCACCACACCTGCACCAACACTACCACAAGAGCCCCACACCCACTCCACACCTGCAGACACACACTTACCACTAGCCACGGGCCACAACTCGCTCCCACACACCCCAAAATAGCATTATTGCGCGAAGATGAGTCACGAGCCTCATACAACGTATAAGACCAACTGCCATACAGACCAACATTTGTAATTACAAAACGTTTATTGCTACCTAATTAGACTAGTTAGCCGAGTAGCCACATATACACCAGGTAGCCAGATCTATAGAGCATCATATGCGCATGTTGCCAGGTCTAATAGTACCGGAATTAAGCGGCCGGGAGGAATAATAGTCAACTTAATGCCCTCCCTAGTGATCGCCATTGCTTACACACACCCTGAACCAACACCCACTTTTCCTTCCCTTTTCCCGTAAACGTTTGGCTATTCTAACGTTTGTGGGAGGTGTGGGCGGCTTCTGCTCACTCACCTGGGTTGGTGGGCGCCGCTAGTCAGGCTGTCAGGTGGTTACAAGAGGCATATGGGCGAGTTTGGCTCAATTATTGAGAGTGTGGTCCATGTTTGGGTTCTCAAGGACAGGTTCTTGTACGCATTTAGAATGGCCGTCATGGCAGACACACATGTCTCTTAAAAAACTTTTAAGGCTCGTGTGCTTCAAATATATAGTAGGTTTAGTTAAATAGGACTCATATATATTTACTTTTATTTCATTAGAGTTTGGTAAAATAATACTATCCTATATATCTGTACAAAAGGGTTATAGAAAATAAAATAAGGTTATGCAGCAAACGTTGAAAATTCTTATCTGATTTCAACTAGATGACCTTGTCTTTAACTACACATAATGTTCATAAATATATAACATCATATTCCAGTTTTTTAACATAAAATTAGCCTACATATATACCTCAATCTTAAAATTGTATTACAAGGCTCAATTGGTGACGAAAGTTAAAATAATTGAAAGAGACTAAGGGAGTGAGGTCGAGGCCGGCGTCTGAACACAGTGAACGAGACTGGAAACGTAACACGCGGAGGCTGTGGAACGTTGCCAGATGTTTCTCGCCGGTTCCAATAATATTGCCACCTTCGGCCCATGCAAGGCAGTTATCAATATTTGAAATTTCTGCCTTTGTAAATGTGTAATATGTCCTATGTTACATAAATATTTAATGGCTTTTTGAGAAAAAATAATGAGAAACTTGTCAAATCTTAGCACTTAGTTTTGATAAACAAGTCGAATTGTGATAGAATAATAAAATAAAGAGAGCTCTTCACAATGGAAACAGCTGTCATGATGGCATAAGGATTTGGACACGTGTACTGGTATTAATTTTCCGATAATATAGTTGTTATAGTAACAATATATGAGAGCTTCATATCCAAGATGGAGTGAGCTAATGATAACGAGAGCGATAAATATTAGTATAGTAGTTCCTATAGCTTGTCTATGGGGCTTAGAACGAGGTATATATATATATATATGACGTATGGAATATAGATGCAAATATTCCCAACTCATAACGTATTGAAAATCTCAATATAGAGATGGGGTTTGTCGTATAATACGGATATTCTCAGAGAAAGTTATTCCGTGATTTACAGAAGGGATATTGTTTAGAGCGCAGAGTATGAATATTTAAACGATGCATATGAAACTTGGCTACATTGCAAGGTTACTGTGCAATATGAGTCCGTTATTTGACTCCTCAGAATACTCAATTATAATCCCCACAATTTCTTATGTAAGGAACCCTGGAACGGTGCAGCATATTCTCATAACCATATATATATATATATATATATATATATATATATATATATATATATATATATATATATATATATATAATATATATATATATATATATATATATATATATATATATATATATATATATATATATATATATATATATATTGGTGTATACTGGCAGCAGGTTTTCTTTCAAACATGTTTCATTGAATATGACCGCATATTCTGTATTTATTATTTTCTGGTTTAGGGCTTCTATCCCTCTAACTATTTTCTTAGCATCAGGGCTTAATTGAAATAGGAGTTCTCCAAAACTCATTTTCGTACTTTTAAGGTGAAGAAAAGAAGTGATTTACTATAGAGTGTATTACACTTATTTGTATAATTTGCACGACGTTTCGAACCTCCATGGTTCATTCTCAAGTGAACAGATCTTACAATACTAGTTGATTTTATACCCGCATTAGGTCAGGTGATAATACAATGAAGGTGAAAACATGGGGGGATACATAAGGGATAAACATAGGGGCTGCAGAAGGCTTATTGGCCCATACGAGGCATCTCCTATCTAAACACAAAGATTAATCCAGTGTAATTGGCCTGTTATGTTGGACATTGTCTTCTGTGTTGGCATCGATATGTTCTTGTCTTGTCCTTACTCTCATGGTGGGTAGAGTAAATAGTTCCGTGATTTGGGTGTTCATGGTAGGTCGCTCTATTCTTATGTGAATTGCCTCAAGAATTTGTAATCTTCTTGAATCTTGGGTTTTGTCTATTATGCAAGTATTCTTGTTCAACATTTCTCTTGTTAGAGTAATGTCATGGGCTTGTCTCATGTGATTCCTAGGGGCACCAGATTGAAGATGGCATGTCAAACGCCTCGTCAGCTTGGTCGACGTCATACCTATGTACTTACATTGAAGGTTACATCCTTCGTGGGGGCAAGTGTACATGTATACAACGCTTGACTGCTGTAGAGGGTTCTCCGTCGGCTTCGGGCTGTTTTTGATAAGGAGTTCGGAAGTCTTCTTGGTTTTGTAGAATATTATCAGGTTTATGTTTTGGTTAGGAGTAGTGCTTTTTACTCCTTTACGGATTATTTCTTTCATTATTCTTTCCTCTTTTATATGTTCACTGTGCATGGTTGATTTGTAATATAATTTTATTGGGGGTGTTGTGGTTTCTGTTCTAGGTTCTGAATTATACCAACGGTCCAAGTGTCTTCTTATAGCAGCGTTTATTTCCGCGTTGCTATATCCGTTGTTCACCAATACCTGAGTTACTCTTTCAAACTCTCTACTCACGTTGCTCCATTCAGAGCAGTGGGTAAGCGCTCGACGAATATAAGCATTGAGAACACTGGCTTTGTATCTTTGGGGGCACTCACTTCTACCGTTCAGGCATAATCCTATGTTGGTGGGCTTGGTATATACGTTGGTGCTTAAAGAGGTTCCTGTTTTTGTTATTAGTACATCCAAGAATGGCAGACTGTTATTTTCACTATTTTCATGTGTAAATCGGAGTACTGACTCTCTCTCTAGGTGTCTTTTTAGGTCAATTAGTTCATCTGAGTCTTTTACTATTACGAATATGTCATCTACATAACGGCAGTATACAGTTGGTTTTTGTCTGCTACTGAAGACCCTATCTTCGATGGTTCCCATATAAAAATTAGCAAATAAAACTCCTAAGGGGGAGCCCATTGCTACTCCGTCTATTTGTAAATACATGTCTCCTTGTGGACTGATGAAAGGGGCTTCCTTTGTACATGCTTCGAGAAGACTTTTCAAGTGTGGCTCAGGTATGTCTAATTTGGGGGTGCTCTCGTCTCTGTATACTCTGTCCAGTATCATTCCTATGGTTGTGTCGACTGGGACGTTGGTAAAAAGGGATTCAACGTCCAGGGAAGCGATGATTCCATCGGGCTGGGTAGATTTGATCAATTCTAGGAAATCTGCTGATGATTGTAGACTAAACTTACTTGGAGTGTATGGAGTTAGGAGTTCATTGAGTTTCTTTGCCAGGTGATAAGTTGGGGTTGGTATTTGGCTGCTATAGCTGATTATAGGGTCTTCAGTAGCAGACAAAAACCAACTGTATACTGCCGTTATGTAGATGACATATTCGTAATAGTAAAAGACTCAGATGAACTAATTGACCTAAAAAGACACCTAGAGAGAGAGTCAGTACTCCGATTTACACATGAAAATAGTGAAAATAACAGTCTGCCATTCTTGGATGTACTAATAACAAAAACAGGAACCTCTTTAAGCACCAACGTATATACCAAGCCCACCAACATAGGATTATGCCTGAACGGTAGAAGTGAGTGCCCCCAAAGATACAAAGCCAGTGTTCTCAATGCTTATATTCGTCGAGCGCTTACCCACTGCTCTGAATGGAGCAACGTGAGTAGAGAGTTTGAAAGAGTAACTCAGGTATTGGTGAACAACGGATATAGCAACGCGGAAATAAACGCTGCTATAAGAAGACACTTGGACCGTTGGTATAATTCAGAACCTAGAACAGAAACCACAACACCCCCAATAAAATTATATTACAAATCAACCATGCACAGTGAACATATAAAAGAGGAAAGAATAATGAAAGAAATAATCCGTAAAGGAGTAAAAAGCACTACTCCTAACCAAAACATAAACCTGATAATATTCTACAAAACCAAGAAGACTTCCGAACTCCTTATCAAAAACAGCCCGAAGCCGACGGAGAACCCTCTACAGCAGTCAAGCGTTGTATACATGTACACTTGCCCCCACGAAGGATGTAACCTTCAATGTAAGTACATAGGTATGACGTCGACCAAGCTGACGAGGCGTTTGACATGCCATCTTCAATCTGGTGCCCCTAGGAATCACATGAGACAAGCCCATGACATTACTCTAACAAGAGAAATGTTGAACAAGAATACTTGCATAATAGACAAAACCCAAGATTCAAGAAGATTACAAATTCTTGAGGCAATTCACATAAGAATAGAGCGACCTACCATGAACACCCAAATCACGGAACTATTTACTCTACCCACCATGAGAGTAAGGACAAGACAAGAACATATCGATGCCAACACAGAAGACAATGTCCAACATAACAGGCCAATTACACTGGATTAATCTTTGTGTTTAGATAGGAGATGCCTCGTATGGGCCAATAAGCCTTCTGCAGCCCCTATGTTTATCCCTTATGTATCCCCCCGTGTTTTCACCTTCATTGTATTATCACCTGACCTAATGCGGGTATAAAATCAACTAGTATTGTAAGATCTGTTCACTTGAGAATGAACCATGGAGGTTCGAAACGTCGTGCAAATTATACAAATAAGTGTAATACACTCTATAGTAAATCACTTCTTTTCTTCACCTTAAAAGTACGAAAATGAGTTTTGGAGAACTCCTATTTCAATTAAGCCCTGATGCTAAGAAAATAGTTAGAGGGATAGAAGCCCTAAACCAGAAAATAATAAATACAGAATATGCGGTCATATTCAATGAAACATATATATATATATATATATATATATATATATATATATATATATATATATATATATATATATATATATATATATATATATATATATATATATAACAATACCACAGCACACACACACACACACACACACACACACACACACACACACACACACACACACACACACACACACACACACACACACA